AGCTCCACTGGCCTAGGACGTGGCGAGTTCAGCGTGCTTCTGGCCCTCGTGGGCCTAGCGCAGGAAGGGGAGGACCTGACATTCGATACGGTTGACGATCGACGCAAGAGTGAGTTGTCGCGGACCCTCCATGTCATCCTTTAGACCCGACTCGTGCAGCTAACAGCAAGTGCGCGGCCCACTTGAACAGAGCTCCCGCAGCCCAGGTGCTCTTACTTCGACGCATTGCGCGCTAAACACGAAACTGCTACATCGGGGCAGTCGTCGCAACAAGACCGTCCCACTACGCCTCCTGCCCCTGCCACCCCGCCGCCAGAGCCAAGCTCAACTCATTCGCGACAGTCCGCCCGTGGGTCCATGGGCAGCTTTGAAGCCGATCCGTGGGGAAGCCCTCAGCTGCATCGAGGACACGCCCATGCCCAAACCGAATCCGAACACCCCGTTCTCAATGGTTATGGCAGCGTACGATCCGGGACCAATGCATGGGCTAGCAGAGCCAGTGATACCAGCGGCCCGCAGGATGCGCCAGAGAATCCCCATCCCAATGGAGGGGCGGGCTTGGGTTCTTCTGCTAACCCTGGCTTTGGATGGGGAGACAACATTGGAAATACCTCGGATGGACATGGACTGGGAGGGCCGGTCCGAGCTGGACTTGGAGGCTTTGGCCCACCTGGGAGCGACCAAGGCGACTCCAATCCCCGTCGCCGGTCCTTAGGCATCGGTAGAGTTACGAATACCCGTATGGAGGAGGTGATCACGATCACCCTGCTTCCAGAAAAGGAAGGCATGTTCATGTTCCAGCATCGCAATTATGAAGTCAAGTCTGCCCGCAGAGGGAGCACCGTGGTTCGACGGTACAGTGACTTCGTGTGGCTCCTGGACTGCCTCCACAAACGCTATCCGTTCCGCCAATTGCCACTGCTGCCCCCCAAGAGGATCTCAGGTACGTTCATATTGAGGCTTGCTACAAGCTGTCCTCCAAGCTTACACACCTTTCCCAAGTCAATGGCACTCACCTTTCAGCGGACTCCAATTCCTTCCTGGAAAAACGTCGTAGGGGACTTGTACGATTTACGAATGCGCTCGTTCGGCATCCGGTCTTGAGCCAGGAGCAATTGGTGGTTATGTTCTTGACGGTTCCGACAGTAGGTCTTTTGGATTCGTTGTGGTCAAAGCGGTGGATGGTCTGACATTGGGACAGGAACTTTCGGTGTGGCGGAAACAGGCGACCATTTCAGTGCAGGACGAATTTGCGGGCCGAGCCCTACCCCCCGATCTTGAAGACTCGCTCCCCTCCAACTTAACAGACCTGTTCGATACGGTCCGCGGTGGGGTCAAACGGTCGGCAGAGGTGTACATCAACCTGTGCACGCTGTTGGAGCGGTTGGCGAAGCGCAACGAGGGGCTTGCTGCCGATCACCTGCGGTTCTCCCTGGCGCTGCAGTCGCTGACCGAGGTGACACGCGACACCTACGCAGTGGATACGAACGATGTGCCGTTGCTCAACGAGGGAATCAAGGCCACGGCACGGCATCTGTCGGCAAGCCAGAGTCTGCTGGAGGACGAGGCTCGGGCTTGGGAGGATGGGATGTTGGAGGACCTCAAGCGCCAACGCGACTGTCTGGTCAGTGTGCGAGAGATGTTTGATCGGCGGGACCGATATGCTCGTAACAACATCCCCCAATTGGAGCGTCGCATTGAGAACAACGAGCGCAAGCTGCAGGAGCTGCGGGCCCGGCCCCAGAACACGGTCAAACCGGGCGAAATTGAAAAGGTGGAAGAAGCTATCTTCAAGGTATGTGGAATGTTCATTTCTGATTCTGGTTCAGTGGTTCAGACTGGGATGGCTAACCCGGTTGCCTCGTCGGGGATTGCAGGACAAGGAATCAATTGTGCAACAACACGCACGTGGGGTGTTTATCAAGGAGTGCATTCGGGACGAACTCGTGTTTTTCCAGCAAAGTCAGTATCACATCAGCCGGCTGCATCAAGATTGGAGTCAGGAGCGGGTCAAGTACTCGGAGCTGCAGGCGGACAACTGGCGGTCACTCAGCGATCAAGTGGAGGGCATGCCGTTAGGGGACTGATGCACTGATGCACGTGTCAATTACTGGCACTGAACATTGCTTTTTCTTCTTTTTTTTTTCTCTTTTTTTGGTCTTAAATTCTTGCGCCGTGCCTCCTGCCTACTGTATCTCAGAGAATTTTTTCTTTACTCGCGCTATCCTGCCGAAGTGATTTTTGATCGTGGTTTTCCTGCAGCGACTCTAGCCCCCTGTACGCATCCCTGTTTGGCAGACGGACCTACCGCCTGCAGAGTGTTAATTTTAGGTTTCTTTTTCTTCTGGACAGTTGAACGGTTGCCGTTTTGGACACCTTGCGCTGATGGCCCCCGAGTGCAGAGATCACGGGTTGGACACATGGTTGGGTTGCTTGCTTGGTTGGGAGTGACCTGCAGGAGACATTGCATCGCTGGGCCCGGCCAAATCAGGCGTACCGTGCTGTAGTGTGAGGTATCTGCTAGTTATTCCTTGTTCGTGCCCGGCACATTGGTTGACCACAGCTGTTCCATCAGTGTCGACCAGTTAGGTCTCTTCTCCGCTGTTACCTGGAGGTGATCAAGATACTCTTAATGCTTGTTCTTTTTTTTCTTTTGGTGATAAACAGGGTAAATATATAAACTATTGAACCGGCGCGGGCGGACTTAGTGACCGAAGGAATCACTGTGAGTATGAGTAGTAGTGTTTGCCGTCCGTCATGCTGCGCTCTTGGAGCAAGCAAGCAAGCAACCACCTGACAAGCCTGTCAATGATTTCAAGTGTATGAATGAGAAGTACAGGAAGTATTCCGAGTCTCCGGTCGGTCTCTCTGTTCGGTCTCGTGATGGGGGCTGGAGGGAGGGAAGAAGGCGGTTAGTCAGGCCCGTCGGGAAGTCGGCAAGTCGGGATGAACGAATCGCCGACTTGGTTCGAGACGAAGTGGGGACCATCACTGGAGACTAATCCCAAGAGAGACAAGTGTAGCTCCGCTTTTCGCTCCTGACCGCCAATAAAGACCGGCAGAAACCGAGCATTTGCAGCCTTGCAAGGCTGGGCAAAACGATGGCTTTTCTGGCTGTTGCGGTTAACTTAGTCTCCTTCTGTGTTTAGCCTCGGGGCTAGTCTCTTTTTCTACCTAGTCGTCTCTTCCTGCACGGCAGGTTTGGAGATTGTGTCGTCATGGCCTCATGGCCATGATTGGCACCATGTGGTGGTGTGTGAGAGTCTGAGAGAGTCCATTCAGTCTCAGCTGTCATCCCACAATTATCCTCCCTCCCTATCCAAATGCATACATGCCACCTCTCACACGGGGAAGCACAAAAGAACAGTCCGTCGCAAAAGTCGGATCTGATCTGTACAGTACTTCTGGGGGGAGAAGTTTAAACATGTACCGTACAGTTACAGTAGAGTTGTGGTGGATCAGAATTGTTGGCGGGACACGATTGGAAATGTGATGGGTAATCGGATGCGAGCCCTATTGGTGTGGAGGGATACCTAGTAGTTTGGAGGTAACTTATGGGGTACTACGAAGTACCTTCTAGTAGTCTCTTTCCTGGTCGGGTTTACAGGGGAGAGTATAGTCAAGGACTAGCTTATAGTTGTTAGCATCTTGTACATACAGAGAGTGTCTCTCTGTAGCGACATCATGACGAGATGTATGTGCAGTGTAGGTAGTATATGAACCCAGCTGTGTCCCGCCTTCATCGGCTCCTGGGATTTCATAACTCCACGACAACTACCGAGTCAGTGCAATCAATCATAACTGGAATCATAATCAGAAATAGTGGAGTCCCGCCAATTGCCAAGCCTCCTCGCCTTCGTCCGTTCCGCGACGAGTGAGTGATTCAGAGCTGTGAAGGAAGTCAGATTCAACGGATTTCCCCGCCGACCGTCGGCCTTCTTTCCCTGGCTCGTCGTCATCAGTCTTGGAAAGGCAGCAAATCTCCGAATCATATTCCTACGCCCAGCTCGTGCCCAGAACTTGGCTTGCTTCTCTTGCTTCAATTCCTCCAATTCCTCCAGTTCCTCCCTCCTCTCTGGTCGTTCCTCTCGGCTTGGGTCGGGTGCCGCTGACTTCGTTTCTGGTACCTGTTTCGCCCTCCAAAACTTACTCTCCCTCTCCCTTTCTCGTTCTTTTTTTTTTTTTTTTTTCTCTCTTGTCTTGTTCTTCTCTTCTCTTTCTTCTTATTTCTCAGACCTGTGTCTTAGCCTTCACCCTCACCTCCATCTTCCTATCCTGTTCCGTGCATCCCGTATTCTTGGGGAAAGCTTCGAATTGTTTGGAGGATCTTGAACTATTCAGTTTCCAGAATCGGTAAGTCATCCTTCCTCTGCTTCTCCCAAAGCGGCAGTCTTTCCTTTGGCCGCCGCCGCCGCCCGCGCCTCTTCCCATTCCCCATTCCTCGCTCTGCGCGATCTTCCCTCTTCTTCTCCCTCTTGAGAAAACACTCGGACCAATGCTTTTTCGCTCATCCCCAATTTCTTGTTTATTTCTTTCCCTTTCCCTCGTTTCCGGAAACTAATCGCACGTTCTGCTCTCGCCCACAACAGGAATCCTCTCCTCTCCTCTCCTCTCCTCTCCCTCCCATACTCTCGACCCCCCCCTTGCAGGTGACGACGCCCACGAGGCCCTCGACAGGAAACCTCCGTCTTGGGATTTTCTCCGCTTTCGCCTGTCATCGTTTCGGGCCGCATATCATTGATTTTCCAAAAGGCATGCGGAAATCCGGCGTGCGTCCACCTTAAGCGGCGGGTTTCCCCTTGTTAGAGCGCATCCAGGTCCCGATCGGCGGAAGCTCCTCCGAGATCCTCAATCATAACCTGGTTTCGCGGCGCATCGACCTTGAACGAACGAGCGCCCCCGGGGAGGAAAAGAAAATTTGGTACAACAAACAACAATAAAAACAACTTCTACTGGGATAGCGCTTCTCGATCTCGTGCGCTTCCCCCGCCGTCGCAGTCATGGCGTGGGATCATTTAGATATCGATAAGCCCCATCTGGCGTACATGATCCTGGGTGGGTTTACCAGTCTGTTCATGTTATGTTCGCTCTTCGTCAAGGAGAAGCTGTACATCGGTGAAGCCACCGTTGCCACTCTATGTGGTATCATCTTCGGGCCTCATGCGGCCAACCTCTTCAACCCCATGTCCTGGGGCAATGTCGACAAGATCACGCTGGAATGCTCGCGCATCGTCCTGGTTGTCCAGTGCTTTGCCGTCGGAGTCGAATTGCCCAAGGCCTACATGGAACGCCACTGGAAGTCGGTGTTTTTGCTGCTGGTGCCCGTCATGACCTGGGGCTGGCTAATCACGAGCCTGTTCATCTGGTGGATGGTGCCGCCTCTCTCGTGGCTCGAGAGTCTGATCTGCGCCTCCTGTGTCACCGCCACCGACCCCGTTCTCGCCTCTTCGGTCGTCGGTAAAGGTAAATTCGCTCGCCGAGTGCCCAAGCACTTGCGAGACCTCTTGTCCGCCGAGTCCGGCTGCAACGACGGCATGGCCTTCCCGTTCATTTATCTGGGGTACTACATCTGGCGCTACCGCCCCCATGCGGGCGAGGTGTCGCTGCATTGGTTCTGTGTAACCATCCTGTACGAGTGTATTTTTGGTGCGGTCTACGGGTTTATCATTGGGTATCTGGCCCGGCACGCGATCAAGCTCGCCGAAAGGAAGGGGCTTATCGATCGTGAAAGTTTCCTGGTCTTCTACTTTGTGCTCGCCGTCTTCTGCGCCGGCTCGGGCAGTCTACTGGGCATGGACGACCTCCTGATCGGCTTTGCCGCCGGTGTGGGCTTCAGTAATGACGGATGGTTTACGGAGAAGACAGAGGAGTCCCACGTGTCCAACGTCATCGATTTGCTACTCAACTTGGCTTACTTTGTGTATTTTGGATCGATCATTCCCTGGGAGGACTACAACAACCCATCGATTGGTCTGCAGCCCTGGCGACTGGTTGTGATAGCGATCTTGGTCATCTTCTTCCGTCGCATTCCGATCATGCTGATATTGAAACCGATTATACCGGATGTGAAAACATGGCGCGAGGCATTGTTCGCTGGCCATTTCGGGCCGATTGGCGTCGGCGCGATCTTTGCGTCGATCTTAGCACGGGCCGAACTGGAGGGACATGGCACCAGTCCATTAGGGGAGTCAGAGCTCCCGGCGGCTGGTTCTTCGAATTACTATATCGTTCAGCTCATTTGGCCAATCACGACCTTCATGGTCATTTCCTCAATTTTGGTTCACGGCTCCTCTATCGCCGTCTTTACGCTCGGCAAGCGGATCAACACCCTTACCATCACGTTGTCCTACACCACCGCCAACGAAGAGGGTCCCTCCTGGATGAATCGTCTGCCGCGGGTGCAATCCCTCGCCAAGGGTTCTATGTCCTTCCGCAAACCGGATGAGGATGAATCCTCCAACGAACCCGATTATCCTCCGGGTACACTGCCTCCGATTGGAGTTCCGGGTAACTTCTTGCGTCGTCAGAAGGAAGACGAAACGGACCCGGCACGTGCCCGATCGACGAGTAGGACCCGTAGAAGACGCCGCAGACGCAACGATGGAGCGGGTGGTCCCATCAGCCAGTCGGCCATCGCGCCTCAGCGAACCGCAGATAATGAGAAATCCGAGAAGCAGGAAGAAGAACGCGAAGAGGAGGAAGAACGCGATAGGATCGAACGGGAATCCTCTCCTCCTAACCGGGAGCGCGATCGCTTCGGCCAAGAGCCCGTCATGGAAGTATACCTGGAGGGTCATAACATGATCATGGAGGATGAAGAGGGTAACGTTCTGAAGGTCCAAGACGTCAGTCACATGTCCGCAGAAGAGCAGAAACAACACATCGAGGAACAGCGGCAGAAGTTACAACAGAATTCGGCCGAGTTTGCTCCCTCTCGCTCACATCCCCACGAGAAGGACGAAGGCGAGGAAATCGAGAAGACCCTGGAAGAAAAGGCCGAACGTTCTGTCGAAAAGACTCGGAAGATGATTGGTAACTGGATGAAATTCGGCAAGGGCGGCGATCGTGTCCAGGTGCCCGTTCACACCGAGGAGGAGAAGGCTGCAGCCAAGCGCAAGGCCGAGAAAGAAGTTCACAAGCGCAAGGGCAAGGGCCGCTCCGCTCATGCGTACCAGTTTGGCAACACGATTATCGTCGAGGACGAAGATGGTGAGGTCATCAAGAAGTACTCGATCCCCGCGAAAGAAAAGCCCAAGCCTGAGGGTAACGCTCCGGTTCGACGAGGACTGACCCGGATGGGTACCTGGTTCGGCATGGAGGAAGAGGGTGAAAGCTCGCAAGCGGCCCGCAAGGCGGCGCAGGACGAATGGCTGGCAGATGACGGTCTGCGTTTCACCCTGGCTGACGATGGCGACGTCGGAAAGCGCGGCATCGAACACAAGGGTCGTCGCATGACCAAGCATGAATTCGCTCAACAGATCCGCAACCTGGGCCCCAAGGCTCGTCGCGATGTGGTGGAGGAAACCGATGCCCCGGAGCGGGTGAAGGACGTTGCGCGCCAGGAAGCCGAGAAGGCGGAGGAGCAAGAGCAAGAGCGCCGCAAGTCGGATCCCGGTGTTGCACCCTCAATCCCCGTTTTCGACGATGATTCCGAATCCGAGACTGACCTCAGCGACGATGAATCGGGCCATGGGGTTCCCGGCGACAACGTCGCCGCCTCTCTGGCCCGGTTCAGTCGTGGTACCGCCGCCGATGAGCGGCGCTCCCGCCACCTGAGTCCGAAATCATCGTCTCCGAAGACGCAAGCTCGATCGCGCAGAGATTCCGAGGATGACGGCACCGAGCGTGTGCCGCCCGCTCAATTGCGCGAAGCGGCTGGCCTCGCCCGTCCGCCTCAGCAGGCCGATGACGATACGGGCGAAACGCCCGCCGAGCGACGGCGTCGTTTGGCTGCACTGGGTGAAATCAACAACTCGGACGATTCAGATGACTCCGATACTCCGGTGGATGATGTGGATGAATCCGACAGCGAGAACAACGGCCCAAACCATAGCAGGGTGCAGTTCGCCGATGGCACCAAGGACAGTCGCCAGCAGTCATTCAACGGTGGTAGCTCGGGTGAAGCCCAGGATACGGGGTCGACCTACTCGCGCCACAGCCGCAGTGCCAGCCGTCGCAGCATTTCCTGGGGAGGTGAGAAAGGACGAGAGACATGATCAACAATAAAGAAAAAAAGAGCGGAAGGCGAGAGAGGGGTTGTTGTTCACTGGTCATAGAGAGGGGGGGGGGGGGGGGTTTGGAAAAAAGGGGGGAGACGAAGGCGGTGAACGGACCCCGAGGGATCCACGCTCCACATTGCTGCTTGCGCGTGCTGCCTTAGAACCAAAAGAGCAGGAGACGAGACGAGACGAGACGGCCTGGCTTGATTCTCATGCATTGAGCGAGCATTGGGTTGCATGTATGCATTCGTGTGATGATGTTTCTTTCCTGCCTCTTTCCTTTCTTGTGTATAGAGCAAGAGTCACTTGTTTTCTATGTGTAACTTACTTCCTACCCGGTTGATCCGGACTTACTCAGGACGGGGGGAGTTTCGACCTGCGATTAGAGGGTTGATTTCCGATGTGATGAGTATGGAGTACATAGATAATTGCATAATGATATTGTTTGGCTACTGGCGTCTTGTATGAATGGAGTGACTATAGTTATGCTGCAGATTTGGTCTAAATCTTCATCTTCGAGGTGACAGATGGTAGGTCAGAAAACTTTTGCCCATATCAATCCATCAATCCACCCACTTGTACCAGCGATCCTTCAGAACGAGTCGATCAGAACCTGCGCAAATGTAAAGATCTCAACGAAACCACTGGCACTAACCCTAACACCTGGTCTACGCTTCTACCCTGTCAGTATCAGCGGGTTTGTTGTTGTATGGCTTGCAGATAGGGTTGTGGACTTGTCGTCAGTAGGAGATACATTGACCTGGGTCGGTCATGCATAGATGTATCGTCGTGTGAAATGGGTGGATGCGTCGGTGCTTGATTAGAATTGGCGGGGGTTAGATTGCTGAGCCCATACGCTCACCGACCGCTTGGGTCCCTGCTGGTATGATTGACGGGATCAATGCTCCTGCTGGAATGTGTGCGCGATAGACCACGGGTTCCTCTCATGCTCATGGAGAGGTGGAATGACTGGTCACCTGACCGAGTGCAGTCTCGAGCACCGCCGCTGACTTGCGTGATGTGTCCGCTGGCCAGTATGGAGAACCTCAACCCACATGATGATGGTACTGGGCTGTGATGGCTGTGGCGGTATGGCTTTTGTCTCCACGCTTGTTCATTCCGTCCCGAGAACGAAAAACCTTGGTCAATCGTTGGCGAGCGAGCAGGTATGAACGAGAAGCCCTTGCTGCTGCAATGTTGGGGAAACTCGTCTCGGAGGAGAGATAGACCCCATCTCCCTGGACCCCTCCCCCTTCCACCTCTCCACCTGCTGCCTCGGCGGTTCTCTCGAGATCCTCCCCGGAAGGAAACTGAGAGCTCGCTCTCTGCCGCTGACTCCTCCCCATCAGAGAGGGTTGTCGGCTGCTCGCTGGGAGGTAGAGCTCCGCGTGGTAACCATTCTGTTGCAAGGGATCGCAAGTCCCTGGGAAGGTTGATGGATGTAAGATCTCAGGGTGGTAATGAATAAGGAGAGTGGGGGAATTCAAGAAGTAGAGTGTACTCAAGCTGCTGGAAATACTTCGGCTGAGTGCTGCATATGCAGGTACCACAAGTATGGCGCTTGATCAAGGCGCGGGAGGATCGTCCCCGCATGAGCGTGTGGTCGTTCAACGCGTTCGACCTCCATCATCTGTCTCATGAAGTTCTCAACGAGGCTTCTTCCATACTGTATAAGGGGTTCAAACTAGACATGAGCACCAACCAGCAGACTTTGTTTCCGTTCTTCACCATTCCACAAGGGCATGGGATATCCCTTAGAGCAGGAATACTTGCTAAAGTTCGTGGACGCAGGATCATTGATCTTCAAGTTTGGGGCAGCCTGCTGTGGTGGGAGTTGGCTGTGTCCTTTTCTGAGGGAGAAGTCTTCGTCTTGTCAGTATTAGCTATACATTTCAGAGTGAGACAAAGGCCTTAAGAGACCATTAAGCCCCGTTCACAGCAGATACACGAGGTTCACATTATGCTGATCTGGTGGATAAACACAGTGAAGCCTGCGATATTGTCGTTCTTGTACCGCGTTAAGGCTCTTGGCGCCGTTATCCACGCAGTTCTCAGTAGAAAGTGTCAAAAATGATAGGGTGGGGGAAGTGAGTGTGAAAATGATGCTTGATGTCGTCAAAAATGATCGACTGGTAACTGTTTTGTCTGGCCGGGTAGGTTCACAATAATATACAACTTATCATGGCTTATCTGAACAATATAGTAGTTCCCGAGGGGATACCTGGTAACAGCACGTCCCAGTACAATGGTACTGTTGTTATATCCGGAGTTCCTTCGCTGTGCTCCCAGAAGCCATATGCCATTTGTATGAGCTGCTTCCCATCCACATAGTATTGAGGCTTCCAAGGCGAGTAGGGAAGCAAGATATGGATTCGATAACTACACCCCGTATAGGGTAACCGGAAGAATGAAAGACTGCTTGATATTGGGCTTAAATAAGAGGCTTTCATGAGGCTATTCGTGTGAGAAAGAGAAGAGAGGGGAAGAAGGAGGGGAGGGAGGAATATGATGCCACCCGGCCGATTCCACCGCTTATCAAGTAAGGAAGCCACCATCCTTTCATTGCCTCCTGCCGCCTCAGCGTGACGGTATTCAAGATATTGACGAGGATGATTGTTTATTGTATTGTTCCTTGCTAACTATGCTACATACAAATGGTCCCGGAGGGCGGTGAGGTAGGCGGTGGCCACCTGCCGTACCATCCCATCTGCACCGTGAGTGACAGTGCCCCCCCCCCTTTGGAGACTGGCGTCCTCGTCAGTAATTATTCGCGTCGACTATCGACAAAGGATCGAACGGTCTGAATGGCTTCATCTTGACTGATTAGCCAGTCGTCGAGCTGATCCAGAATAGCATCGTGCTCAGCTAGTGTTTGAAGGTATCAACGAACTCGGCGGCGACGCGGTTGTGTTCGGCAGCGGCCTTGTCGCGCTCGATGATCAGACGGTCACGCTCGGCAGCGAGATTGTCGCGGTGATCAAACGGTCACGCTCTGCAACAATATTATTGCGCTCCTCACGCTCCCTCTTGAGGGCCTCGCATACCCTTCTGCAGTCATTCTGCCACTTGTCACGGTCGGTGGAGTATGTAGGTGTGGGACTAAAGTAGGTACAATCGACCCCGAGACGTTCGGGGTGTCAACACCGTCTACACGGTCTGGGCGAGGCGCTGCTTGATGTCCCCTCTTGCGGTATGAGTGTGTGGGTTGAGATATCCATGATAACGAGCATGGTAATCACCTCCAATGTTTGAAATAAGATCTTGTTCCGAGTACACGAAGTTTCCGACTGGACTAGTTGCAGCAAAGATAAAATGCCAGTACGGCTTCCGTAGATGCCCACGGGTTGTAAAATAGCGAGAGAAAGTCTTTCGGACTGCTGGTGAGGCACCGACAGTACAGTACCTACAAGGGCGGCCGGAGGCGGTGAGCTGCCTATCCAGTGGGAAACCGGGCCTCCACACTTGTCTCCCCGAGTCGCAGCTCAGAGGCATTATTCTATCTGAGCCAGATGTTCCATCCCTGTTTATCAACGAGAAGCGTTAAAACGGCGGGCAGGGTGTCTGGGAGCCTGTCCGATAAGACTTTGTGCCCTTGTTTGTACTGAGTATTGTGTTCGATGGCGTCTCCACCGGCACCAGCTTCCTCGCCGTTCATCTTGGTGTGCGTCAGAGGCGTTACGTCACAGCTACCAATCGGGTGGTCGCGTTGCTCTCCCAACGTGGACGTGCCTGAGGTCTCCGGAATCGGGGAAACCAGGGAAGTCGTCACGAACGACGTACTTTTGATGGTTATGAAGTTATTTTGATGATCCTGACACTGTGGGAGGTAGACAGGGTCGCGTCAAGCGGAGGGCTCATAACCTGATGAGAGCGTGAAAGACGATTGATTAGGGCTATCTGGCATAACTTATGGCCTAGAATGGCGACGAAGAACGAACGTGGTTATGATTTGTCCAACTCATTTCTGCATATGCTATGACGGCCTTCTTCCGCACTTGCACGTTCCTCCCAGAGCGTGTCCTTGTTATGAGGGAGGTTTTCGCGAAGGGGATGACCTCTAAACAGCCATAGCATGTATGACTGCAACTCGGCCACCACAAAGCACATGATAGGCTTTGTACTGGGCGAAGAGATCAACAGTTTCGAAGCTTGAGAATGACCAATCGGCCCTGAGGAATGTATTCGGTCTCGAACTCTTCTTCGAAGTCGAAGTCGGTAGGAGACTTGCTGAGAAGTTCATCCTTTTGGAGGGACTTGATTGCTAGGTATAGTCAAGCGTCCGAGAGTCTTACTCCATATAGAGAGATGTGATGAACCGTGTCGCTGCTCTTCTATACATGCCTTGCCGCCATCTTCGGTACTTTCTGGGCCGTGTGAATTGCGAATTATAATCGGTCTCCTTATGCTCGTGGTTCAATGCGGCAGTGCCCCAGATGCACGATCAGGTCAATCTCGGGGTGTCTCGGCACAAGCGGGCCATCAACCATAAGACTCGTGACCCCAGTATTAATGCTCCCACTGCATTTGCCGAAGACGCTTGCACCTATCCTGGCGGAACTTGTGATAGCTCGAAGATGTTATTCGTGTGTGTAGCCAGCGGATACGTGGTCTCTCCAAGGTGGAAGTGGTGAAGTCCGAGGTCACGCGACCAGAGATATCTCACAAGATAGCGATATACCCGTGCTAGTCCACGCGAATGCGAAAGGTTTGGTCTATGACAACGGGCTCAACACCTGATACTGGCGTTATCGCTTCCTGTGAGCTTTTAGCAGGATGTTGATGCAGCTGGCATCGACATATCGAAGGCTCCCATCCGGAGTCGCTGTAGGGTCAGAGAAACTTCGGACAGCTCGACCTCTTTTGGAAATTCGTCGAAGTGCATGCTATCTCGAGGAATATCTGTGCGAATATATGGCCTTCGCTCACTGTCGACATTAACGATCTCCGGAAATCTAGCGCTTTCAATCTGAAGAGATCTTACTGAACTTCCACATGAGCTGGGGGCTTCCGGGGAGGGGTGGTCAGAGAGTCCGCAATTCCGAAGCAGCTGCATATCGCCATTGTCTTTGACCGGCTGGCAAGCGGGCTCAACATGGATGCTGTTAGCTAGACCACTTTGTAGGAAGAGGCAACAGGAATGGTTGCATACCCACACGAAACAACTCTCGACGAATGCTGCGCATGATTCCATAGGCCACAAGCTCGCCATATGGGTGAGTGCTTGGAGCGAACCCGCTCAGCTTCATATAAGAGGTGCTCAAATGATCGCTCGGTTCACAAGACCCTTATGCATCGCGTCCATGTCCGTGGCTGCAAGTTCGAAGGCGACTTGCGACCTCTGGCATTCAGAAGGAATAACAGCGCTTGGGGATCCAACAAATCCTCCTAGTTGATATATGCCACATTTAGCAGGCACAGTACCCTGTATCCCTGTCCCGATTAGCGTTTGCTTGTTCGATCGACGAATGACCCACGTCCAGCTTTGTAGTAGGTACAGGGTGCCTGCTTTTCATGAGAGGAATGTGGTAGATAGTCTTGATAGTGTTGCAATCAGCATCGATTGCTATTGCTCAGTCCAACAGTTATGCCATTTCCTTAACCATGATTATAGCATCTCCATGCTGTGTAAAAACAAGGTCCTTTCTCACTACCGGTGCGGGAACCCATACTTGGCAACCACTTCCCTGATGTCGCTGAGCACAACAGAAGAAAGGGGGACTGTTGCAGAGACATGGTGCATGTAAGAACAATATAGCATCGGTCTCGATCTAAAAACAAAAAGAAAAGAGTTGAATCAGCCAAGATCTCAGAAGTGATTTCAAGAATAGAATGTACTGTACCTGCAGTAATAGTCTAGTGGATGGCCAGCTGGTAACTTGGGACTTGTCACCCCACGGGGCCGATGCTGGATTGGTTGGTTTACTCCCAGATCTGTTGCTGTGATTGTACTGTCCCCGGCCTCCTCCTTGCCAGTACTACTGTTGTTAGTGGTAGGTAGGTTCTCCATCGGCCGCTGTGCAGTACAAGGGAGCACAAGAGTATCAGAAATCCTGCGCCTGTTCTGGTTCCTCCCCCTTTGCGTCTTCCTTTTCTTCCGTGTTAGTGAGCATTAGGGCTTCGGGGTCTACTTTCTGCTCCCTCCGCCATAGTTCCCACACCGGCGACGCCTTTTTTTTTTTCTAAACTAGGTGGGACTGCAGTTGATGGGAGAGTGTGGCAAAGGTTTTTTTCGCCTGTGGAACGCTCAGTTCGCGCATGTATTCTGCCGCAGGTGTAGAGCCGGGGTGTTTGGGCATTCCGATTGAAAGCAATACATCAAGACTAAGGGCTAGGCGGGGAGGCTCGCAGCAATTCGTGTCGGCCACTACTATTCCCGCCCTTGGAGGAAGGCGTCTTCCTGCTAGTCTTCATTGAGCCGCCTGCCGATATATTGGAATAAGCTTCAGTTCGGCCAGCTTCGTTTCCAGGTTCCTGTCGTACCCACAAACCTCTCCTGCTTCAAGTAATCGCTTGGCTCGCTCAAGGGACACAATTTGTCCGACTCTGCCTGCATATGGCGTGTGTGGATTCACGTACTTCACGATATAGTGATAAGCACATTCCAGGATATCTCAGGCCTACCCCAAGGATAATGTCAACAGCAGGTTTAGTGCGCAGAGCAAGAGCCAGAAGATCTTGGCTGAAGCTCATACTATGGTAGAGTGCATCCCCTTGCGCATTGGAATGGGCAAGTCGGGGTCGGTGAACCTATCCCGCGAAGAACAGCCACGCACCTCTGATACAAACGAAACAAACGATTTCCAGCTCACTCCCAGAAGAGATAGGGGCTCGAAAAAGTGGAACGTCATTTGGCTTCGGGTTCTACTCATTGAATTTGCCGTCAGAAAGACATCTCTGACTCTCTTTGGCACCGAGCCTGGTCTCAGTGTAAGTTCAAAGAACGGAAATTTGCCCTGACTTGTCATTTTTCTTGGGTCCATGGATGTCTAGCCAATCTCAACGTTCAAGGGCTTTTTTGGCACGTCGACAGGATGCCTGGGGAGTAGGGTCAACCCCTGCGAGACGTATATGATCTTTCTTGTCGAGTCCTTCTGCCTCGGCTTTGACGTGATCGCAGTCGGAAATAGAATACATCCGGAAGATACGTGGGCCTGGTTGTTACCTCACGCATAGGTCTCAATCTATCGAATAAGGCATTCCGCGTTCCAAGCCGTTCGACGACGAAGGGGTCGTTGAAGACGTTTTCAGTTATTCGACCCGAAACCCTGGCTTCTGTTGCTACGATGTACTGAAGACCTCGTCCGCGTATTCCAGATCTGAAAAATGGTTGAGATACTCTTTTATCCACGGACGAGACAGTATATTCGTCAATCAACCGCGCAACGAGCCGAACCATTGCTCCCATGTATCGAAATGTTGACCATATGCTCAGAGAATGAATGGAGTCTGCGTGAATAGGGGTTCATTTGGCGATAGATACCACCAGCAAGAACATAGACCAAGAAGCTCTCCTTCCCTTGTATAGTATGTGGCTCTGGCATATGCGCTCGCTATGTGCCACAAGCTGTCGACATTGAAGCCATTTGGCTGAGGGACTCGTGGGATACCTAGAGGCCGCTAGGATGCTTGGAGAAGTCATCGGGGCTGCTCGTGTCTCATGCCCCGGCTGAGATCTGGTCCTGCAGCTCCGTGAAGGATGCGTGTGGCAAGTTGCCCTCACCACGTCCACTTGACGACATGAGATATCTGATCGGGGCACAAGAGGAGGTTGAGTTTTGTGTGGTCGGGACTGCGCATTCAGTAGAAGGATTTTGGGCCGGCATTAATGGGAGGCCTTGAACGCGTCGCCACTACTTTCAAACTTTGTTTGCGAGCAGCTTTCGCTTTTCTGGTTGCCGGTTTGGCTACTGCGGGGCTGATAAAGCTGTGGTCATGCATGACGATGATGTTACCAGTCGCATCTTTCGCTACGCAGGCAAGCATAAGATTGTTGTACTGCCCTCCATTCACCCGGTAGTATTACCAAGTTTATGTAGCCGGTGTTCGCATGCTGCAAAAGCAACGGTGGCAAGCCTAGTGAAACAGTCCGATCAAGCTTTGAAGTCTCCTTGATGCGGGATTCCAATCTCTGGAAAGCAGGAGTCTTTTGCTGCTGGATGGTAGACTTTCCTGTGGCAATAGCAGCGTCAAGATCACGGCGGCTTAGATGGCCGACTCGGCAGACTTCGCGAAATTCCGGGTCGTGAAGATTGGCCGGCTTATCTTCCCGGCGGTCGAGACCTTGTTTTAGTCCAAGGATTATTAGTATATCTTTGACTTCAAAATAGGGGGATACCTAGAACTAACCCTGTTTGGCCCCATGGATCCGTATGAGCGACTCCCTATGCTGAGGGGGTGGATAGATGCGATGGAAACATGTGAGAATGACTACAACAAGGTATTAGCACAAAAGAGTTTGGAGATTGGGGTCATGAATTCGGAGATAGCCTACCGTGCCATGACCTGTAGCCCGGTCTACAAGGCGGATAAGGGCCAAATCCATAATCGGAGGACGCGTCGACCCCGGAGCGTTAAGTTTGGTGGCATAATCTGGTTTGACTGAATCGTGGGGCATTCGATTTTCTTTGTGAAATGTAGGCTTTGCACCACCATTGGGAGACCGGTGTCCGCAGAAATGGCCTTGACATCATGTCTTCAGTGGTAATTGCGATCAATTTCTGGAACACCACGTTTTTTCTTGAGAGACCTCGGTGACCTTAATATGAATCGAACTTTTGCTTTCTCCACTCGCTGTGAAATCTCAAGTGCAATCGGCTCAATGTCTTGGAGATTTCCCCCTTTGGGTCAGGCCCGGTGCTTGCCTTGAGCTCGGAGCTTATAGACAAGGGTGGCACAACCACCTGATGGTTCAGAGCGCCATGGAAGTTTGCCTGCACTGAAAGACATACATCGAAATTGTCACTCCACACAGCTGGATATTGTGTGCAATCTCAAAAAAGTCGTGCAGTCAACAGATGCCTTCATAATTAAGACTTTCTCCTCCTGTCGAGAAGCCGAGACTTTCATTTCAGTCGAGCATCGCAGACTGTCTTGCCTCCTCAGCCCGTGTCTTGACAGACACAAAAGCAAAACCCATCTGAGACAAGGGAACTGACCTGCTGTAGACTCCCGAGCAGCGATTAAGCTGCATTCATTCTTCTTCAGGTGCTTCTGGGAGGCGGTAGATTCATTCCAGGATGTACCTGCCTCAGGAGTATCATAGAAATACAATCCAGAACGTACAGGGACTTAAAGATTTTAATTGTTTTCGGCCGAGTTTCAGGGGCTTGATCGCGCTTCGCGCTGCCCGAAGGAGCCGCGACCGCGACTGCCCCCACTGCCGCACCATTTCCGCCGCCGCCAACGCCGCCAGCTCGTTCGTCTGCGCCTCGATGTTCGCGAGAATGTCAACCTCCTACGGCGCGCCGCCCTCGCTCTCGTCGAGCTGCATAGCATCGGGATCATACTGGCCGGCGACGTCCGGAACCTCACGATTCTTCAGGTGCGAATAGCAAAGCTCGACGGCAATCTCCGGCAGCACCTTCTCCGCGTTGTTAAAGCTCAACCACTAGTCGATGGTATGCAGGGCGAAAAAAACAAGAACAACCTGGGCCCGGGTCTAGCCGGTGCGGTAAATCCGCCCGATAGCCTGCAGTTCGTCGGAGATATTCTGCCCGGGCTCCACGAGGACCACCGTAGCACACTCGCCCTAGAGATTAAGACCGACGGAGACGAGGCGGTAGATTGTCACCAGCACCTCCGCAACCGCTATCCGGGCTGGTAAACGTGGCCGCAACATCCCCCCGCTCCTCCGGGGACTAATACGCCCACATCTGACACACCCTGATACCCAGCATCTGGAGGAACATAATAAGCACCCACTGGGTAAGCGGCCAGCGGCAGAAGAAAATAATCCGTGGCAGGCGGTGGGTCCGGAAAACGGCGAAGTATCCCACCTCCTGGAGGTATCGGGCGATGTATCGGAGCTTCGGGGAGTCCCTGACTGGGGCTTGGAGGTTCCGATGGGCTTGGGCCAGGTTGCAGGGGCTAGATCGCGCTTCGCGCTGCCCAAAAAGACTAACTGGCACAATCAGCCGTAGCACATTTTGGGATGTATGCACCGATTGACCATTTCCCGAATGTCCGTCGATTTGATGGAGACATTGCCTTGTTTGCTATTCATGGTTGCTAGTGTATGGACGGCTATATGACTCTCGTTCCACGCCGTAATCCGCACGAAGGGGAGAGTAGTTTTGCAAGACATTGAGCCAGACGTTGTCCACTACATGCTCATATGGGATAAATCCATTCTGCGCATAATGCAGGTGGTCCATATACAAGCGGATCACCTCCCCTCTGTAGTGTTGATGACAACGTCTTCGAGCGCGTTGTCAACCTACAACTGCGTAAAGAGGTCAGCATACAACTAAGACTAGCAGGAATTGGAGGGACTTACGGGCGTGCACCCGTTGGGACCGCGTTTGTACCTGCGGCACCGCAAGCAGTAGGTCTCTCCCGCCGCAGCAGCGACGATAGAGCACGCTAACCCTGTTTGCGTACAACAATGACAAGCTCGCAGGCACTCCTCACGTGTGGGAGGGGAAGGGGGGGCGTCGTCGGTGGCCAGCCCCTGGCCCCCGTCTCCATAGCATAGGGACCAGTCGATGTTCCCCTCGAGCTGGACACGTTCTATGTCTGATGCGTTATTGAATTCAACATCTCCCTGTTTCGATGCACGGTGAATACGATGTCCACTAGGCCGAGCCTCCGATTAGTTTCATCGGTCAGACATCAGGAGATGATGATGAACTGATGGAAACGGCTTCTCAGCTGGAAAGAACATAGAACATAGACAGTGGAAACGAACAAACTAGAACTAGCGAGGCTTTGATGGAGCCACCGCTGTGCTTTCACAGTAACCGCAAGGTGTGATCACAGGAGGCGGTGGAGGTCCAGAAACTGTCAAACCGCAGGGCAGGGGCTGCCACAAGACTCGCCATTGTAGATTGCTGCACGCAACCCCGTCAGGCCCAGGTGACGGTCCGGGCCATTTCGCGCCCCTCTCGGCGTTGCTGATGAATAGAACCACCAAGAAGATCCAAGCATCACACAGTTTGACATTCGAGGGAGGGAACCCCCATCTGATAGGATTCCAAACAACCTGCACTGTGCACCACGAATCGCAGGCAGAGAGATCACTGTGCCCAGACTTGGATGTGGCGTCCCGGGGGGAGGACAGCGGCGACAATAGTCTTTCGTACTCTGTCTTGTTAGACAGACCAGAGGGAAAGAGTTTCCTCCCAGCGGCTCAGCATTGGTTGCCGCCGAAGAAAAGTGATGGGAGTGGTAATGATAGAGAGATTGGCTTGCGAGTCGCTTATTTGAGGAAGTATCGGATTGACACTGATAGTCTTGCTTGAGTGGTGATGGTGGTGGCGATGATAAGGGTGATGATGAAAGTGATGATGAAAGTGATGATGAAAGTGATGATGAAAGTGATGATGAAAGTGATGATGAAAGTGATGATGAGAGAGATGATCATAAAGACATCGATGGGGTTGAAGTTGGAAACAGAAGCAGCGAGGAATCCAAACATCGAAATAGAGGATGCGATGATAGTTTGAGAAAGGTGATGAAGAATTAGGATGTTGTTAGTAGATCGATACCTGTAGAGATGGTGGATAGAAGGAAGAAGCGAAGATTGAGGGATTGTTCGGAGGAGTGGATGATGGAGAAAGAGGAAAAAGAAGAGGGGAAAGACGGATGGAGAGAGGGTTTTTATGTTGAGAAGAGAAGAGAAGGAAGATGGTGAAGAAGAGGATGGAACTGGAAGGAGGCAGGCCGTGAATGAAGAATGGACAGTCTTTATTCACTACTCAATAGAAGCTTACATTCCATGATGAAGAGGTTGCAAATAACTCTTTATCACATGGTTTGTGAATTCCACGAAGCCCTAAATTTACTGCCATTAAATTTCCCCGACCAGCCCTGCTGAGCTAAATTCTTTTATCTCGACGATTACGCAGCAAGAAATTGCGGATTCCAAAGGAATCAGCTCTTAGTTCGATAACATTTGAACGAACTCCATAGCCTAAGAACAGCAAATACCCCAGACCAAAAGCTCACTGCCCCTGCACCACCTCAGTCCTACTACCACCTCCACCCATCTCCTCCTCGCAAGCAACGACCCTCTTCTTCACGGCAAAGAAACTATCCGGCGTGACCGAAATCGAGCCTATTCCCGCCTCGACCAAAAACTGGGCAAACTCAGGGTGATCGCTGGGGCCCTGCCCACAGATCCCGATCTTGCAGCCATGCTGGCGCGCCACGTCGATCGCCCGCCGAATCATCCAGAGCACGGCCTCATCCTGCTCGGCAAACAGCTCGGCCAGCTCGCCGGAGTCCCGATCGACGCCCAGCGTCAACTGCGTCAGATCGTTGGAGCCGATCGAGAACCCGTCGAAGTAGCGGGTGAACTCGGCGGCGCGGATCACATTGGCCGGGATCTCGCACATCATGTAGACCTGCAGGCCGGCGTGGCCGCGCGCGAGCCCGTTCTGCGCCATGACGGCCAGCACCTTCTCGGCCTCGCACACGGTGCGACAGAAGGGGATCATGACGACGGCGTTGGTGAACCCCATCGTCTCGCGCAGCCGCTGGATGGCGCGGCACTCGAGCGCGAACCCCTCGCGGTACCGCGGGGAGTAGTAGCGCGAGGCGCCCCGGAACCCGATCATGGGGTTCTCCTCGTGGGGCTCGAACTCCTCCCCGCCGATTAGGCTCGCGTACTCGTTGGTCTTGAAGTCGCTCATGCGGATGATGGCCGGCCGCGGATGGAAGACGGCGCACAGCGCGGCGAAGGCCTGCGCCAGCTTGTCGACGAAGTAGTCCGGCTTGTTGTGCGCGTACCCGACGGTCAGCTGCGCGATTTGCTTCTTGGTGTCCGGGTTGGTGAGCTGGTCGAAGTGCACCAGGGCCATGGGGTGGATCTGGATGGTGTTGGCCACCACGAACTCCATGCGGGCCAGCCCGATCCCGTCGACGGGGAGGCGCCACCACCGGTACGCGGCCGCCGGGTTGGCCAGGTTGACCATCACCTGCGTGTGTCGACTGCGTGGCAGCGAGGCGAGGTCGACCACCTGCGCCGCGATGTCGGCGCCCCCCTCGTAGATGAAACCGATATCCCCCTCGGCGCACGAGACGGTCACGTCCTGGCCCGTGTGCAGGATGTAGGTCGCCGTGCCGACGCCTACAACGGCGGGGAGACCCAGCTCGCGACTGACGATGGCGGCATGCGAGGTGCGGCCGCCGTGGTCGGTGATGAGGGCTTTGGCCTGCTTCATGATGGGCACCCAGTCCGGGTCCGTGGCGCGGGTGACCAGAATCGAGCCCGCCACGAACCGGTCGATGTCCTGCGCCGTCTCGATGAGACACACGCGGCCGGAGACGGCGGCGTCGCCCACGGACACCCCCTTGGCCAGCACGCGTCCGCGCTTTGTGACGTGGTACGTGGTGAAGCTGCTGGCCGCGTCGTGGCGCTGCGAATGCACCGTTTCCGGCCGCGCCTGCACGATCCACAGCTGCTGGGTGGTGCCGTCGCGCGCCCACTCGAGGTCCATCGGACAGCCGTAGTGTTTCTCGACGATGCACGCCCACCGGGCCAGCGTCAGGATCTCCTCGTCCGTCAGGACCCAGGCGTCGCGCTCCGCCTTGGAGGTCGGGACGTTGCGCGTCGGGGTGGTGGTGTCGCCGTACACCATCTTGACCTCCTTGCTGCCGCGGTCTTTCTTGACGATGGGCCGCAGCTGGGGGTCCTGTAGCAGGGGTTTGAAGACTTGGTACTCGTCCGGGTTCACCGCGCCCTGCACGACATTTTCGCCCAGCCCCCACGCCGCATTGATCAAGACGACTTGATCGAACCCGGACTCGGTGTCAATCGTGAACATCACCCCGGACCCGCCGCCGGGGGCATCCGACCGCACCATCTGCTGCACGCCCACCGACAACGCAATCCCAAGGTGATCGAACCCTTTGGCCTGGCGGTAGCTGATGGCCCGATCGGTGAACAGCGAGGCGAAGCACCGGCGACACGCATCTAGGACCGCGTCCGCGCCACAGATATTGAGGTACGTCTCCTGCTGGCCGGCAAAGCTCGCATCGGGGAGATCCTCCGCCGTGGCACTGGACCGCACCGCCACGTTGAGCTCGTTCTCTGTAGTCCCGGCACGTCGGGACAGCTCGTGGTATGCTGTGCGAATGGCCTCTTCTTCTTCTCGCGGCCATCGGCCATGCAGGAAGAGGCTGCGCACGGCGTGGCCGGTCTCAACGAGGCTGCTGCGGCGAGACTGCCAGTCGGCCACGAGAGCGGCGATCTTCTCGCGGAGGTGATTGGCATCGACGTAGTGCCAGTAGGCGTCAGCGGTGGTAGCGAAACCCGGGGGCACGGGGATGCCCGCGCTGCCCAGCTGGCTGAGCATCTCCCCAAGCGACGAGTTCTTCCCTCCGACGAGGGCACATCGCGGCGAGTGAGCTGGTCCAGCTCGAGGACGAGGGGATGGTTACTACTGCCCATGGTGCAGTTTATCTTCAAGATCAAGTATACTTAGGTTAATGTGATTACCCTTCAATTCATGAGATAAGTACTCCGAGAATATGCGACTATTTAACTCCCCACCCACACAGTCAACAAGCAAAACAACCCGGACTCCATGCTTACAACCATACAACATACAACAAAACACCCCTCCCACCCTCTATCACATGCAACCGACCACTCTCTCCTCCCAGAGCTTTGTGAAATACGAGAGTGGTATGATCGCCGTGCAACCTGGCACAAGGCAAGTGGCGATCGGTGTATGGCGCGGAGGTGCAACCCTAACCCAACCAACCGTGCGGGGGGAAGAGCATTCTTTGTCCACGCATACTTCCCACCACCCATGGTAAAACCGCCCCTCAATGATGGCAATCCCGCAGCCAGCATCGTAGCATTTCCCGGCCGAAAGATTACAACTGCTAGTAGATTCACTTGTCTTCCCCTCGAGTCTATCATCCTCAGACAATTCTTTCTCACATCAGTCAACTATACCGCGGAGCCGATACCTTGGTATATAACACCAAAGCTACCCCGTACACCCGGCAGCAAACAACCCAAATCTGCCGTTTATATACTACCCACATCGAAGATATCTGATATACGCCCCAAAAAATGACATCCCGCATCGGCATCATCGGCGTAGGCCACGTCGGCGCCGCGGCCGCGTACGCCCTCCTCCTCCAGCACGTCGCGCGCGAGCTATGGCTCGTCGACATCAAGCTTGACCGGCGCGACGGCCAAGTCCGCGACCTGGCCGACGTCGCCGCCGTCGTTGCCAGCGCCGCCAAGTCCCCGGGCGCCGGGGCCACCGTGCGCGCCGCAACCCACCACGAAGTCGCCGCGGAGTGCGATATCATTGTCATCACGGCGGGGTCCAAGTATACCATTGGTATGTCCCTCCCAAGCCTCTAGCCCAGTGCCATCAAGGGAGATTCAGGCACGCACTAACTTCATGTGTGTGGGTTGAAGGAGAAACAAGCATGCAGCACCTTTACCGCAAAGTGTCGATCGTGCGCAGCATCGTGGCGGCCATGAAGCCCATCCGCCGAGACGCAGTGCTATTGGTGGTGTCCAACCCGGTGGATCTGTTGACCTCCCTGGTGAGGGAGATGGCGGGCCTACCGGCGGGACAGGTGCTGGGGACGGGGACGGAGCTTGATGGCGTGCGGTTGCGGGCGTTGGTAGCGGCGGAGATGGGGGTATGTCTTCCTCCTCAGTATACTACTGTCAACAGCAGCAGCAGCAGCAGCATCGCGTATACTAACAACTAACCAGACCCCCCCTTCCACCATCAACAACCTCAACGTCCTAGGCGTCCACGGCCCCTCCCAGCTCGCGACCTGGTCCACCGCGACCGTCAACGACCAGCCCCTCCACCAGACCCTACTCAGCAACCACCATCCGACGCTCCTGGCCGATGAATGCACGCGGCGGTCCGAGGCCATCGTCCGCGCCAAGGGGTCGACCGAGTACGGCATCGCGGCGGTGATCGCGCGGCTCTGCGCGGCCATTCTCGGAGATGAGCGGAGCGTCTACGCGGTCAGTCATTTCCAGGCGGAGTTCGGGTGTTGTTTTAGTTTGCCGGCGGTGGTGGGGAGGGAGGGGGTCGTGCGGACGGTGGCGGTGGAACTGAAGGAGGCGGAGAGGGTGGAGATGGAGAGAAGTGTTAGGCTCTTGAGGGGGCGCATCGGGGCCGTGGAGGGCGATGGTGTTGTCTGATTCTTGGGAGGTAGTGAGGGGTGGGTTGCATGGGCTTGGTGGGTTTTCTTTGGGGTGTTTGTTATGGTGGTTGGTGTTAGGTATTTGTGGCGTATCTTACTTCTGTTGGGCAATTAAATATTTATTATTCCTACGCCACAATGTTGCCGAGAATAAGAAGGGAGAGGCGGAGTAGTAGGTGGTGGTGGTGGTGGTGGTAGTGGTGGTGATGTAGTTCATCCTCAGACAGAAGGGGAGGGAGGATAGGGCTATCTCAGAATCCATCGTGTCCATTCTTCACAGAGCAGCAGCAAGGCAAGCGGTTCCCTCCAGTACGTTTCTCAGAACCAAACGTCGATGGTTCGATGGAAAGAACTTCAGTACCCTACCACTGACCAGCCCGGTAGCATTAAGCGGAGGCCCGGGGTTAGGGCTGACTTCCTGTAGTCACTCGGCCGACACTTCGCATCAGATCTACTACGATGGCTAGAAGTACTTAGTATCCATGGAATCCTGGTTGACGGATCTGCGGGGAAGCCACAAATGACCTGTGTTGCATCATGCCACCAAGACGTCATTCGGGGTAACTTTAAAAGGAAGACGGTGGTTTGAGGTCCGACATCTACCCAAACTCAATACCTAGTATGCGTCTCGGAGCCGAGTCTCGGTTCCATGATCTCAATTACCAGACTAGAAGGGTCCAGACCGAATCGACCACACCTGTCACAGAGCTTGTGTACTCTACAGTCCCTATCAACCTTCGATACTGGATCCGCTACTAAGGCTGGATGTGGTTGATCCGAATACGAGAGGTTCCAAGCTCCGAGCTCCAAGCTCAGCTCCGGGACTCATCAATATGTTTCATTTCTCTTTGCCCTGACTTCGTGAATTACTTGAACTATGGAATGCATCGAAAGAAACTTTTCAAAGAGTAAAACCCTTACTAAGTTGACCCCACCTGCCTCGCAAGCGTAGCAATATCCTCGCCATTAAGCCGAAACGCCGTCTCTCGGGACAAACAAGAAGCCAGAAACAGCCAGCATGCCGCATTACCCACTGTAGTGAATCTCTCGGGCAGATCTTGCCTTGCACTTGAGGTCGCGCGCTCCCCAGTACTCTGCTCAGTGCTAAACAAGCCATACAAATGCCGAGCGACCGCGTCCGTCGTGTTCGCGCCATCCTCCACCAAGAACATCCGCTCCTTCAACTCCTCATGCGCGGCAAAGAAACCCCCCGCCGCCGCGGTGGTGACCACCGGCTTCTGCTTCTGCATCGCCCACAGCAGGACCTCCGGGATGCCTTGGCAGAGTGACAATTGCACCACCACCCGAGCGTTGGAGAGTAAGGTATTCCACACCTGGTCTTGGGGGCTGATCTGCACGATGCAGATCCGCGATGTAAATCGCTTCATCTTGGACTGGACGTGGGAGAAGAGACGATCGTGGTGCGGAGAGCTCTGGGATCTTTGGGCGGGGCCATGGTGGCAGATCAACAGCTTGGGAAGAGGGAGCTTAGGGTCGTCCGTCCAGGTTATGGTGCAGAACGCCGCGTAGGCGTCTAAGAGAGCGAGGGTCCCGTCTCCGGGACGGAGTTGCGACAGGCTTAGGATGTACTGTTCTGTGCCGGTTATGTCCTGCTTAGCGCTAATCACTCACGGAAATTATACCTCATTGCTGTCCGTGGTTGCCTTACCTCTCGGATAGTGGACAACGGGGTTTCCGAAAGTTCTACACAATGAATTGAGCTCCTGGCCGTAGAAGGTCATGTCGGCATCCGTCAAGGGCTTGTTCAAGCCATCGAGTCTACCGTAGAATGTCAGAATATCTGTCCGGAAAGGAATGTAGGCATAGAAAAGCAACCGGCACAGGCACAGGCACAGGAACAGGTACTGACTGGTCTATCGAAGGAGATATATAGCCAACATTCGCCTCTGATATGACGGATGGCGCGAGTTCCCGGGGTAGGGTTGTGACCAAGGTGTCAACATGCTCCAGCTTGGTCTGCACAAATTGCCAGGCAATTGCCTGAGGATGGGTGGACTGCTGCTGCAGCACATCTGGTGGAGCGTGCAATCGGTTCTCAAACACCACGGGTCGATGGGGATCATGCTGCTTCGCCAGGAGGGCCAGGGTCAACAACGGAGCGCTGTCGATCACGACTACATGGGCCCCGCCCTGTTGGCGCGAGCGCAGGGGACCATGCTCTTCAAGCCAGTACCTTCGCGCATTTTCGTAGGCGAACTCCATGATCTGAAGCTGGTCGTCGGTGTCCAAGGAGACATCTGGCCCTGCTAGGCCCTCCATGAGGTCTTCCATTTTTCGGATCAATTGGAGGATGTTCGGCCGCGGCTTTGGGACATACCTGCACCCAAACGTGACTCTGGAGTCTTAATCCCAAGCGAGATTGGGTATACTCACCACCGGATATCCACCTCCAATACATGGCCCAGCCGCAACAATGCATGTCGAGTGTGCACATCGGGCTTTCCTTGGCATGTCATACTGAAGAACGCAATCTTCACCTTTTTCTCGACCAAGTCCTTTGCCAGTCCCTGAACCAGTGCCCACAGCTCCGGGCTCACCGTCCGCTGATAACCCTCCGCCTCGGCAAAGCGTATGCAGAAGCTCCTATCGACGTCCACCATTCCATTAAAATGAATCTGGTTGTGAATGAGATGTCCAACGCCGAATGACCTGTGTCAGTCGTTCATATCGTTAGTATTTCGTTGGTATTTCTGGTTCAGCGCAACGAAGGACATACCTCAAACACTTCCTGGCCATGGAATCGGCCTGTTCATCCGCAGTCTTCTCCTTCCAACTCGCGAAGATTGACAAACTCCCCTGCTCGTCTGGCTGTCGGGGATGATCCTTGTACTTCAATACCAATGGTAGAGTATCCAAGTCGTGCCAGAGCCGGGAGCACAATCCGGGGCACTTCTGCACCAGACCTTCGGGGAGGCCGACCGCGATGAATTTCTCCTGGTGCTTCTCGCCGTACGCGCGTAAATGGGATAGTAGCTCACTGGTCGCGTGGCATGGTATCTGAGTGCCTTCAACAGCGTTGTGGAAATGGTGGGTAAAAAAGTCAATCAGCTGCGTCGCGTTGCGAATGGCGACGGCGACGGTCAATCTCCCTTGCTCGTCGGTCGCTGGTTCTGAGAGTCCGGCGTAGATTAGCTGTTGATAGCATCGAATAGTCAGCGCAGTCAGCGTAGGTGTATGGATGTGTTGAGATGATAAATGTCATACATACTTGTGCAGGTAGTGCGCACCAGGAACTCCTTGTCAAAGTCGGATCCTCATTAGAACTAGAGTCGTCTGACTGCATTGTATTGTGTATAGTTAGTTATCAAGACACAGCAGAATATCAGGTCGGATGATACTAGAATCGAGGTCGGGAATCGCACGACCAAAAGACCAGGCTCTAGTTAGTTGTATGACTTGGTTAGCCACAAATACCCGCTGATACCCGGGATTTCAGCCCTCGTCAAAAGTCGGCTCTGGCTATACGAACCGCCAACAAAGAAGGTCCATGCCTATGATATAATGCATCTCGCAGCTCGCGCTTCTCCATCATGCGAAAGTCTGGCTCAACTCAGTTCTGTCAAACTTAATGTCAGCATCAGCCCACTCACCCTGTACGATACAGTACCAAGCAGGCCTCGTAGGCAGTACTGCATGGTTGCACAACACAACCTCGGAACAAGTCAGCATATGATTCATGCTTGTGGCGAGAATCGTAAGACTATCAGCATGAGCAGCACTCTCGGCCGTCTCGGCCGGCCATAGGCATAAATAGGCAAGAGAGAGCGACTTGTACTCTGCGACAGAATTATTGCATCACCACATTTGTCATCAGATTCAACACTCTGACAATGGAGCACAATTCCGATCTCTGCAGGCAAGACCCAAGCAACATCCAAGCATGGCTGGTCGGCCATGGATTGGCCTCCCTGGTTGCAGCAGTCTATCTTATCAGGAAAGGGGGCATTCCCGGTGCCCATATCCATATTTTCGACCTCCACTCCGACGTGGGAGGTGAGATGATCGTTTCCGGAAATGCAGAAGACGGCTATTCGCTTCCGTTCTACTGCCTTCCCTACCTCCATGGGGAGTGTGTGAAGGAGCTCCTCGATCTGGTGCCGGATGTCCAGCATGATGGCAAATCGCTGGCGGATGATGTGCGTGAGTTTCGATGTCAACTGCCACACAGAGGACTGCCGCATCCTATTCCGCGAGCTGTGAGCTTGGATTCCTCCGGCACCGAAGCGGTGTTTACGAAGGGCATTCAGCTGGGTCTGAAGGATCGGATGGAGCTCATCAAATTCATCGTGAACCCGGAGCGAGCGCTGCACGCCAAAACAATCGATCAAGTCTTCGAGAAACCATTCTTTGACACAGGGTTCTGGTCCCTATGGTCCACCACGTAAGCATCCCTTTGCGGGTTTGGAACAGACATAGTTGGCCATGCATAGCTACTGACTCCTCACTCAGATTCGCATTCCAGCCGTGGCACAGCGCAGTCGAATTCCGCCGCCATCTTCGGAAATACCTCGAAGACATCCAAACTCTGAACGATGTCGATAAATCTATTCACACGCGATTCAACCTCTTCGAATCGATCGTCCTTCCCATCACCCGGTACCTGAAGAACGAGAAAGTGGATTTCCGCTACCACACTGAAGTCAAAGATATCAAGTTCTATCCCGACAGCGATCCAACCACGGTCTCCGAGATCACCGTGATGGAAGACGACCGAGAGTGCTTGATCGATCTCGACCCCCAGGACATCTGTCTGGTCGACGTCGGCTTTTCACGCTCCGGGGCCGTCTTCGGCTCCAACGACCACCCGCCACCATTCCTCTCGTCCAACTGGGAGGACCTTCTCCTCCGTGAATGGCGCCTGTGGCAGACTCTGGCCCGCAAATCCCCCAAGTTCGGAGACCCAATGACCTTCCTGTCTCGCCCGCTGGAGTCGGGCATCGAGACCTTCACGACCACCCTACGCGGAACCTCGTTCATGGAGCTCTACGACAAGCTCACGCAGGACAAAGCCGGCACCGGCGCCCTCCTCTCCCTGGTCAAGAGCAATTGGTCGCTGACGATCAGTGTCCCCCATCAGCCCATCTTCGCCTCCCAGCCGGACGACGTGCACCTTCTGTGCGGATACGCGTTGCGTCCGTCCGAGGAAGGAAACTTTGTGCAGAAGCCCATGTTCGCCTGCACCGGCAAAGAAATCTTCACCGAGGTGCTGGCCCACCTGAACTTCCTTCCGTCCGAGGAGTTGAGGCTGGCGGAGAACGCGATCACGATTCCATGTGGCATGCCCCTGGGGACGGCGCCGTTCTTGACACGTAGCGCAAAGGACCGCCCGTTGGTAATTCCTCCCAATACGACTAATGTGGCGCTACTAGGGCAGTTCGCGGAGCTCCCGGATGACACCACCATGAGTCTGGATTACAGTGTGCGCACCGCGCAGTTGGCTGTTGCGGAGTTGCTGGGGCTTCCGCACCGGCCGGTCTCGGTCAACAAGAATATCTTCCTGGAGATTTTTGACCTGTTGGTTTAGTTTCCCATGATGATTTTGCTACGCTCCCTTTCATATGTGTGGATCAACATGGACTTTATTCGAGAGGAGATGTCTTATCTCGTTCACAGATTGGGTGCTTCATACTTTTGTCTCGGATAGTCCGATAGTTCAATTAAACCTAAGCCATGAATTCCACGTTTATATTTCACATGTCTTTGCTAGGGATTGTTTGACCGATCTAAGAACCTTCGTCAAAGCCAGAGACAGGGATACAATTTCCATGCTGGTTCAGCCTTACCACTATAGGGAATTCCTTGCTGCGCATTAGCGAACAACGGAACTTGTGGGATGCCGCAACATGGTGCCCTCTACTATTCTCTCGCTTGCAGCACTTCCCCAGGCCTGACACCATTCACAGCCTGAACTTCTATTCGGAATTTCACTACCTCAGCCTCTTGATAAGCGAACCCTTGAATGGAACTACCCAGCCCATTCACATCGCATCAAGGGCTGTCGCCCAGTCATGGATGAATATAATTCTACTTCGGTTAATACCAATCCTGGGCCCATGTTAATATCTCTACTGACCACTCTCGTGAATACGGCTGGCTGGAGACTCAGCTCAACATCTCGCTTCCAGTCTGACGGATTTGATTCTTCTCCACTACATCTCTTCCATCTTCTTCCTCAGTACTGCGTTGACTGACTTGATCTTTCCCCAGTACATCTCTTCCATCTCCCTCCACAATACTACTGGGAACATGCTCAACGAGACTAAGTCCATGCATGAAGCTTGACTAGAACAACCCAAACCTCAAACATGAGAAGACTTGGTTTCTGATTTCCATTTTGCTCTTGATCTTCTTAAACTTCCAGTCTTGAGACATGACCATCCCGATGTGGACTGCGATACAAGAGCAGTCCACACGTTCTATTCAATCTCTGTTCCATCAGTGCAAACAAAATCCATGTTCAAGTTATCGCATCTCTACCCCCTGTTCCCGAATTCGAGGTCTCGTCCCATACCATTTTCAAATCTCAGAAACCTTTCTGTTTGACATCCCGTTCCACAAGAACATCCGTCATAAACGGACATGACATGCCAAGATGCTAGACATTGATCTACCGGCTTTACACACGGAGTCATATCCGTTACCCATCATCCATGGGGGTCGATATCCTGTCTTCTTCGATTGTTGGGCCAGCAGGATTCCTGGTCGACAAAACGGGGTTCGACCACTCTCTGTCCCAAATCGATAGAACTTCTACAGATGCAATGGGTTACCGGAATCAGCCTGACTGGCTGACTGCAGTGGTAAGTCCGCAGGGCCCATTCTACCAAGGAATGCGGTGCTAACCCCAGCCAGTATATGGCTATCTGTTCTTGACAACAAACATCAGTCTCCACCCCCATAAACTTGATTTCCATCATACACCACCACTCACCTCTTTCGACCTCATGGAACCTGATTTTAATTTCCATAACTATGGTCATGGCTAGGAGATGGGGGCGATTCCTGCTTCGCCATCTGCCCCGAGATATCCGTGGCCTGCCAGACAGAGCATGGTACCTTTCCTAATACATCAACATGGTTGGGGAATGGGGACGAATCCAGCTTCTCCGCCTGTTACGGAGGTCCTGGCTTCCAGATAGAGTACGCTTCCTTTTCCTGACTGATTGTGATGGCAGGAAAACGGGGACGATTCCAGTTTCGCCACCCGTCCCGCGGAGACTGCGACCAGCCAGACAGGAGCCCGGGATTGAGCCACTGAGTGCATACTCTCGAATGAGTTAAACCTGGCAATGCCAGTAGGCCGGAGGGCCTTTCAAGACTTTGCTATGCGAATTGTTCAACGAAACGCGTTACCTTGCTTGTCTATCTCCTCTCAAGACGAAGACTTCTTCCATCAGAAATCCCTCTCTCCTTTTACACGGGCTGTGTCCGGAAACTTTCTCGGATACCGTGGCAGGTTGTCAGGAGACAGAGCCGGCGATGGACTTTGCATGCCTTGAGGGGTAGATGGTTGTATGTGGCAACGGGTTCCCACGCCACACGGCAGAAGTTTCGGTACTTCAAATGTGCCAGAGCCTAGAGCAATTCTTTGCTACGTGGTACAATACATGAAAGCACAGGCACAAATGATCAAGATTCTGTCTAGGTGGGTGAGTGTCTTTCATGGCTACGCTGTCAGCGATGCATAAATCATCAGATTATGCATCAGACAGCTCACCATGTCGAAGGAAGTCGGATCACCTGTTTGCTTCATCCGACTCTAGACAGTCTGGCTTTCCCAAGAGCGTCTTGCACTTGGAGACGCAGGGGGCAGTTAAAGTACTCAAGATGAGTCAGGAAGGTTGACAAGGCCGATTGGGATTCTCCTAGAGCATTTGGGCCGTCTCTCGCACTATCTGATCGAGAAGTCATCATTCTTATATAGCGATCTCGCGTCGTCGTCTGGAAAAATTCACTCATGTGCGATCGAAGAACAGCCTATCAAATTATTACGCTGATTCCATGGACGAGCCGGTCCCAGCGGACAATCGCCTTCGGGCTCTGCGGAAGAAGGACCAGAAGAAGGAGCAAGAGACACGGCAGACCCGCAAAGGGCTGGAGAACAAGGACACCTCTGATGAAATGCTGGTAAGTTCAGACCGAGGGCGTTTGCAGGTCGATTGAAGCTGGGCTAATTATTTGCTTGCCGGTAACAGATGCGAGAGGCCGAGAGCCTCGAAAAGCGGCAGTAGCGGAGGAGGCAGAGGTGAAATGGACGCGCGAGAAAGCCGCGGAGATGCGGCAGAAGGCTGAGGCTCAGAGCAAGGGACTCCTCCTGCCCGGTTATGGACTCCCAAGTGTATGGCAGATTTTCCCATTGGGGCGCAGCCCGCTACTTTGCTACCTATGCAAGATTCGCTTTATCCGTATATGCAAAACACCACAAATACTCCAAAGGAGGTTGTCGCAGCGCCGCAAGCGAAGATCTCATCCGGGCAATGGTTTCAACTACCGAAGCAAGAAATTTCAACGCTTGATCTACTTGAACTATCGTCCTTTGTTCCAGGCCCATCTATTGACTAGCATGAATTGGTATACTATTCTCAGGTTTGGAAATGTATTCTTCATTTCTCTTCTTCCTCCTGCCTTGTACCACTATAGCTTCTCGAGTCATTCTTCTACATATACACATCTTTGCCCTTCTCTCTGACAACTTTATCCAAAACTATAGTATCCAACCAACCTCTTCTGCTGCTGCCTGACAAATATCACGTCGATCTATTCTTTCTCTCAATCGGTACGAGCAATAATGCAGAGAATTGTGGCCTCGGGCATATCCGCATACACGATGTCATCGAGTTAGCCCAGCTATGAAGCGGTTGATCTCGATAGCAACAAAGAGTCTTGCATCATACAGCAGAGGATTTCTCTTCCAGAGCTCGGGGCGCGGCTTCAGATGTAAGCATCAGTCACGCACTGAAGCCATCGTTGCAGTAGCTACACGTTGGCATCAATGACGAAAGCCGTGATACCAAGCTAGCTCCGGGTCCTGGGTGCATTAAAGCCTCCCCGACTACCGACCAAAGAGTATCGAGGACAACAGGGTATTGCGCCTGTAGTGATGTGACGAAATGGGCATCCGTCAGAGTTGATTTGCAATATCGTACCTAATAGGGCCAATCCAATGGACATCGAAGAGGAACACTGTAAGTCTTCCTTCCCTCCTTCTCGTCCAATCTACCGTTACATGAATACTTGCTGATTATATCAGTCTCAGCGGAGTCGAAGCAAAGAGTGAAACGGACTCCTGTCAGACTTCTGGATAACCAGCAGTGCATCACTGTTACCAAGCACGTTACTCGCGTACTGCTGCTGCCATGGATGACTATTCGAGATACATTTCATCGACTTATGAAAGTCTTGTCAACTCGAAACGGCACTGGTTCACCCACCGTCCATAGCAAAAGTATTCACAGCAATCATGAACAACCTGCGACTCAGTCACCGATTTTAGCCAGCATGCGAATGCTTCCTCTACGTCACGAGTGAAACACTACTATGCTGGACATCGTCGTATCGTTCTCTAGTATCGCAAATTCTTTGCGCTCCCCCTTTCGGCGAACTAACCAACCCTTCTACGTCAATGCAAACAAAAGGTGACGTTCTGTGGAAGCAGATGGCTTGTCTCAGGTCAAACATGTACCCTGGACTTGATCAAAAAGCCACATCGAACTCCAGGGCCAACGAAGCAGCTTACCCCTCCTTTTTGTATATGGTATATCCTGTTAGAATTTTTGAGATTTAGAATATTTTTAAGGATCAGTCTTCTCATTAATAAAAGACTGCTTTTGAACTGCTCTTGCCTTGCCCAACCAACATGTCTACTGTGTCAAGTAGTTCCTGACAGTTCCCGGCTCAATTATCATTGAAAAGAATGCAGTGCGTTAGGCTGAGAATACACACGTGATGATGATATGACTAGCCAAAGAGGCTGACCTGTCTTGGCTAATTCTGGCATGATACACTGGGTCAGTACCTATACAGGCAGGTTACACCGAGCTTCTCATGAAGGTTCAGTTGTCTAATGATAAGCCCAAAAGAAAGACCCTTTGGAAAGGCTGCCGATCGCGTCCGGGGCTGCGTTCAACTCACATACAACAAATCAAGATGACAATGAATGTCTACCTGGCACTAGAATTGATCTTCTTCGCCAAATCACCGAGTGGGCCCTTTCGCCTGACGAAAAGTGTATATTCTGGCTGCATGGTATGGCTGGAACAGGAAAGTCGACGATATCCCGGGCGAACTTATTGAATGTTCATGGCTCAACTGTGGCGAGCTTCTTCTTTAGGAGAGGCGAACAGGATCGAGGAAATGCAAGGCTTCTCTTTACGACAATCAGCAAGCAGCTTGCCGTTGGAAACCCCGAACTGATTTCGGACATACGAGCGGCAGTCTCCAGCGATCCTGATATTGCGGTGAAATCACTGAAAGAACAGTGGGAGAAGCTGCTTTTGGGGCCGTTGATGAATCTTGTCCAAACTACGCCGCGAAGCTCAGTGGTCCTGATCACTGACGCACTGGACGAGTGTGAGATTGATAATGATATACGGGACATACTGCGAATTTTACCACAAGCAAAGAAACTCCCTATGAGCTTGAGAATCTTGTTAACAAGTCGACCCGAGTTGCCGGTCCGCTTAGGCTTTGCGAGGCTTGCACATGATGAATACAGAGATTTAGCCCTTTACAATGTTCCAGAGGATACGACAGCACATGACATAGCTCTATTCATTAAGGATCGGTTCACGCGGATAAAGGAGGTCAGAGACGTCCCCTATGACTGGCCTACAGACGAGGAATTTGAGCAGTTGCTTTCAGTGTCAGTCCCGTTGTTCATCTCTGCTGCCACCATGTGTCGATTTATTGAAAGTAAGTTGGATCCAGTGGAGTCCCTCACCAGTCTGCTCGAAGACCAGGTCCGATTGAGGTACGCCACAAAAATGGACCAGACATATCTACCAATCCTCAGGCGACTGCTTCATAGCCAAGATGATGATGATGGTGCCGATCAACTTTTGGAAAACTTTCGACAGATAATAGGGGTCATGATCTTTCTTGCTATTCCTCTTTCAGTCAACACGCTGTCAAAAAATTTGTTGGGGTTCCAAGTAGAGTTGTCGTTAATATACTAAACTCTTTTCGTTCCGTTCTTAGCTTAACTTCCAACCAAGACACGCCGGTCAGAATGCTGCACTTATCGTTTCGAGATTTCTTGGTGCAAACAAAGACCGAATTCCATATTGACATGGAACGAAGCCACCAGAAGATCACTCTTCTCTGCTTTAAAACAATGCGAGCTCTCCTCAGACAGAATTTTTGCAATCTGCAACATTACGGGATACGGAGATCTGAGATTGACATTGTGAATATACAGGAGTGTTTTCCACAAGAGCTACAATACTCGTGTCGCTACTGGGCATATCATCTGAAATGAAAAGCTTCTGAACATGCATGCAAAGTCAATTGTAGAGATGCAGCTAGCCTGTAATTCCATCTTGAGACTGCAAAACGTTCCCGATGGACTGAACAGGATGGTCATCCTGAAATCTATTTTTTCAGACATAGCTAACAAAAAGACTCGATCGCTGACTGCTCATCTTGCTCCCTCACAAAGAGAAGAAAGAGACTCGCGTGCAGTCCTTTCTAGTACTCCGACGCTTAAAGCTAGCGGCAGAAACTTGAACATGGCCCTGGATGCAGTTCGGGAAGCAAGAAAGTGAAGCCAAATTCGAAGAAAGACAAATCTGGCTTCACCCCGGAAGAGCGCCACGCGGTTACAATGCAAATCTCCAACGATTTAATCGATGGTACCCCAGCCAATAATAACAAGAATAAAGACAGGAAGAAGCAAATAGACCCTGTTGGGGCTGACCACTTCAGAGATGAGAAAAATAACATACTCAACTCCGGCCGAGCCTTCCGCTTTACAGAAAGTCCAGATTCTTTATGGGCGAAGGCGTTGCTAAACCACCCTTTGAGGTCCCGATTCTTGCGAGGTGGGGCATGACCCACATGCATCTTAGTGGAAGAATCCATCTGCATAGTCTTTTGCTCGTTTCAATGCGTTGAGTGTCTGAGACACAAGCTACCTGGATTTATGATTCCCAAGGATGCATACAGTGCATCAGCTTGGGCGGGAGACCGAGACTACACACACCACTGAGATGAGGCCCTTTTCTCACGCGGTTTTGATTCAGCGTGAACACTCCCTTTTTCCTCCAAGAAAGGCACTGCTCTTTAGCAGAAAAGGGAAGTAAGCCCCGAAAGCACAAAGACAAGAAGAGGAAGGAGAAGAAGAAGAGGCATGAGTCCCTCTATCAATAGCTCGGTCAATCTGTTCGTCTTGTTAAAGACTGCTTCCCTTCCTTGAATTGCTCTTGTCAACATGCCTAAAATCATCTCCCACTTGTATTCACCTTTTAAACTCCATCTTCCATCTTACTATAACTTATTCTCTGTTCGATAAATAGTCTCTCTACTTTAGACACCTAGCAGCAGGAATCCTTAATGCACTCAATCCGCGGTCACTTACTGATGTCCACTGAACCTGTTTGACAAATGAGCTTTCACCCATGAGTCGCGTCTTTACCCTGAATAGCAAAACCTCCGTCCTGACCGAGCAGCTCGGAAGAATCGAGTACTAGTATTCCCAAACTCGAAAGACGCCAAGTATGAGACTGTTCCTTTGGCATCTACAAACAGCAAACAAGCATCTACGAGCACGTTTAACCATGGCTGAGCATCTTTGGGTCGGCAACAGCGTCGACAAAACCGTCGATATCATCTCCTTCACTAGAGAGTATACCTAGTTTGGCTTTTGCGTTTTTGCTTGCTATGGTGGCAAGAGATGCGAAGACCGACAAGATAATTGTTACGCTTCGTTTGGCTCACGAAACAACGTTGATGCTCTCGAAAAAGAGCCATTGCGAATAAGCAATCAGCAAAGAGGGTTATAACGGTGTCCAACATTTACTTGCAGCATTGCATCATTTCACTCAATTTTCTAGGCACCGGATTCGGTGCGCGCCTCTTAGGGCTCTTGAAATGACCTACCTCAAACCATAATCAAAGGTACTGACGGAAAACCTCATAATTCACATTACTGTGTCGCAACATTGGTAGCATGTCACGTTCGAAATGGAAGAGTCCCCCACACACATGCTTACAAGAGCTAAAGATCACTAGTCCCGACACAGTCGCGCTGAGGTAGTTGGAACAGAAAGCCATTCGGCCGATGCGCTGAGAGCTACCCAGTGCCGGCCCCGCTCAGCCTTATGCAACTCATCCGGATGGAAAGCTTGCCTGGATGAGCTGACGCATGAGACGCTCTATTTCAAATCCACGGCCCACAATGAACACTGGCACTTTAGTTCTGCGCAAGAAGTATTTGCGCGGCCGCCCACCCCAACATCCCCCCAGTAGTATGTAGATTTATACATAACAAGGATGCTTTAAGTCCCGAAGCAACGAAACTGTCGATCAACAAAACCGCGCACATACCGGGGCGTGCCTGCCTATGCCTAGAACCGCCTTTTCCTAGCACGTGTATCAAGGCTTACGGCACTCGATTGCCGATCTCCGTGCACGCTTCGCTTCGGTCTATCTCCAATGTTCGCTGCCGAGGTTAAGTTACCTCTCGCTGCCCCTCTTTCCTGAACTCCCTCTGAACCACCTCATGTTTTGACTGCGTGCTTTGATAGCCTGAACAGCATCGCCTTGCTCATTATTTATTGGTAAGAATATATATGATTTTAGTGAATCATCATGAAAGAGAGATATGGCACGGAGCTGAAACCCGAGCAAAGAAAATATAGGGCTTATTATTAGACCCATTAATAGATAAGCTTAATCAGACTAATTTGTTGACTATTAAGTTAGTCAACTTAATATACACTGCTCCACTAACGAACTGGATTGCTGCGGAAATCGAGCGACTTTCCCTTTCTGCATTAGGTCGAACTTGGCACCGCTTTTTGCTTACTAAGCGGCCCGGAGCGTGGGGGGAGCACAGAAGTGCATGTCCTAAGCAATCCCTAAGCAATCCCGGATTGCTCCGGGAGTAAACACTAAAGAAAGTAACCGTTACCCTGAGAGCTCGTCTGGACTTACTAGTACTGGTCAGGTGACCCATTTAAACTGTGCACGACTAAGCTTACGTATCTCACTTTAGCACCGCCGGAGTGCCCGTCAATTTCCTGGTCCCTCTAAACATTAAGCCCCATTTTAATAATCCCTTAACCCAAAACTAAATATGGACATACCCTCGATCACCAGTAGTATTAATACAAAGATTTACCAAAGAGGCTCACCTACGCGTCAACAATGCTCTTCAGCTACTAAAGACCTTCACTTCTTCTACCTACTCTCCTTTTAGATATCGCCATGTTTTACTGCACCAGGGGACCTAAAACTTGTCTATACGTAGTATATAGGTGATATGCTACTCTAGAAACATCTGAAAAGCCGAATGAGGCTTGGCAGTGCAAGTAGTACAATGCCTGTCCAGTAGGTAGACGTCGAATCACTCACCCTGCGAACGAAGGCCTTCAGTTCAGTTTCTATCTCTTCAAGGGATTTTGATTAGCGCAATATGATAGATCTACCGTAGTTATGCTAAAATAATATCGGAGACAGAATCAAAACTATATTCTTCTTTGTCAAATTATGCTGAAGTCACACAATATCACTTTCTCAAATATCTTTCGAACTACCATAATCACATGCCCTGCCCGAGAGATATGTGATTGTTGTGGAAATCATTCTCTCTCGGTACTAGCACTATGTACAAAGTAGCTCAGGCACAATATCTAAATATCCCAATTAGCTCATCCGTACAATTTTATCGACTACACTGTAGACGTGCCTAACTTTTAAACTCTAATTTAGACTGGCAAATACCTCAAGAGCCAAGAATGGAGGAAGAGATAGGTTGGCTATATTGTTGTCACTCACGAAAATGAAGGCTACTCCTTTCATGTCGCGGGAGAGCGTGAAAGACGAACTACAGTATTCTGTCATATAGGCTGGACTGCAATGGGACATTTCTGGTTGACTGAAAGCATGATATAAAGAATAGTATAGTTATATAGGCTGAGAACCTATTGTGTAGTATATTGTGAGGCGGTAGATCGGAGTAAGAACTCCATGAATTATCATGGTATTGGGGGAACTATCGGCATGATCTGCGCGAAATCTGGAAGCCTATAATAATTCATGTAACTTATCATAGCGTGAATCTAAACATACTAGTATATGAATAGAAACGAAGAATAACAATTCTTTGCTTGTAACAGAGGTAAATAGTAAGTAGAGAAGTAGGGTTGTCTTCTGCCGCTGACCCAGCAGTCATGGAAGAAAAGTACTAAGTGGTTTACTTATTAGGGCAGCCGTGCGTTACTGCCAGGTAAGTACCAGAGATTGATAGCAGACATCTTAAGGCTAATAAAGTTAAATTGGACGCTTATTAGCTAGAGCTACCAACCCTTATTTAGATGCTAAAAAGATATAAAAGATGTCAGATTACTGAGACATGTAATAATTGAACAAATAACTCTTAATGCATCAATTGTATACATCTAATTTTTATTAGAAAGACAAGATATGGTCTATCACTCACATTTCTTTATATAAATATTTCTTGATTGTTATTCATATCTTATACCTATCTAACATATCATCCGGCTGTTCTATCCTCCAGAGTATAAGTAGATATACCCCAATCCAGGTATATTTCAATTAAGATCAGTTCGGATAAGTTGTAAATATTTCTTTAATATTATAGAGAGCAGCATTCTTAGCTGATATCTTAAGTTTAAAATCTTGGGAGCAGTACCCATGAGTTGATATGTGCTTGTTTTATATTTTCTACCAACTTTAAATAAACAGTAGCTTATTACTAGACAGATATTTAATTCGAGGCAGTAAAGAGTCTTTTCTTTTTTTATTTTATTTCAGATGGCTTTAACTTTGGATTATAAGCCCGAGACCAGATAAGCAGCAATTCTCTCTTTCGGTTGAGTTCAGTTATAGGCAGAGACCCGTTTCTCATTCAATACTGCATTTGAGCAATCGTGGTAGGTATATACAACATTTATTTGATATTATACATGAATAAGATATGACTTTCAATCCA